GTGGGCCTTTCTGGCCTGTTGCAGGGATAGCTTTACTTTTACTTTACTTTGTTACTCGTTAATGGGCTAAGTTATATGTATTCTAGTGCTTCCTGATGTGTATAGAATTCCTAGAACCTTAGAATCTACGAAATTTCGGAAAAGGAAGTTGCTCAAAAGTATATGAAGTATATACAGTGACTGAAAGATTTATTAGAAATAATTACACGTAACTAACAGGGCGGCTCAGACAACACAGTGACTAAGCTAAGAGCTGGGGTTTTATTTCCGAGAGAGATTTCTCTTATCGCGGAGAGGGGACTGGTTCTGGGGTCATAGATTATCTATTAATTGCGTTAAGGGGCCTATACACGTACGAGTCTGGCTCGCTAGTCCGGCTCGGCGAGCTTCACTCGGGATCCGGGCTCGGATTAATTTCGCCACAAACGCATGAGCTGACTCCCAAATTTGCGACCCACACACGGACAAGTTTGGCTCATTGGAACCCAGACTCATACGTGTGTGGGCCCCATTACGTGGACACTATCTGTGGAAGCAAAGCGGCAGAAGTACAACACTGAGCAATCAGCTCTATCTAATGGTAAGGTTATAATTGTGTGCCATACATCTACTACAGGGTGTGATTATTCAGACCTACACTTCACTTAGTGGGGGGTGGAGTCCAACTGGGTCCACTCGGCACCGCGGCCACTTCTGGCCTATTGTACCAGCCCCAGATGATAGGTGAGGGTGATGGTGGAGCAATTGATGGAATGAAGAAAACAGTTTCTTTCAACTTTATCAAATTTTCTACAAAAATAGCCTGAAATATTTATAGACTAAGAACAAAAATTTCTAACTATTTCATGCTCTATTTTATGCTTTTTACTGTTTCTTTAAGATAAAAAAACGTAAAGGCTGAAATGTCTCATACAAAATTTATAAGTTTCATCTGGAATATTTGTCTATGTTATACAGTAAGGGGCACTATGCTAGAAGCCGGAAGGTTGCGGGTTCAAGTCCCTATGAGGTAATTAGATTTTTCAATTTACCTAATCCTTCCAGGCGCACTATGGCCCTGGGTCGACTCGGCCTCTAACAGAAATGAGTACCAGGAATCTTCCTGGGGGGTAAAGGGCGGCCGGTGTGTAAGGCTGACAAATTTACCGTCATCTGTGAGCCTATTGTCTAGGAAACGTGGATGTCTCAGAACTCTATGGGCCTCCACGGCCTGTTAAGGGATAGCTTTGCTTTTGCCTTATATGGTAGGCTACATTTAACGAACGGAATAAACAATTTGGATTAATAACAAAATATTTTTGCAAGTAAGACAAAAATATAATGTATTTCTCTGCAGTATGGTACCTGTAAGGTTTATCAGCTCGTCAGCAGCCCGAAGAATGAGATCCGTAGGGAAAGGGAGGGGGGGGGAGGACTGAATTTGGGAGAAAACGCAGTGACTTGTTTCAAGAAACTATTGTAACGTGTTTGCAATCCAGAAGAGTCACTTGTATGGNAACATTCAGTTAGGCGAATATGGGAGTGGATATATAGATCCACGTTTTATTGACCTCGGCACTAGTTGGAAATAAATGGTCAGCTTCACGCCCCGGCTAATTTACCCCGCGGAAACAGCTTCCGTTATCCATTTGATAGGAGGCTGAGTGGAACCCAGAACAGGTCTGGACGATGTGGAGAAGAGAAAATTCTTGCCCTTACCAGGGCTGGAACTCCGACTCCTCGGTCGTCCAGACTGTAGCCTGTCCCTATACCGACTGTGCTATCCCAGCTCCCTGTATTGTTCAGTAAGTTAGTATTTATTCAAAAGATTTAGAGGTACAATTTGTACATGAAGAACCAGAAATTTGTAAAATGTAGCGGACGTTCGAAACACACCGGGCGCGGTTGAAGCGGTACCCTCAGTCTTGCATCTCATTCCACCTAGAGAAGTGGGTCCATTAGCTCACACGATCGTTTCACGATAAATTATTGTTGCTGCAAGGCGGAAGAATAATTAGATTACCTCTGTAATTTTTGGAAACGGCGATATTTTTGTGCTGTAAGTCAGTTCGTATTACCTACTTTCCACTTTATTTGTTTGCTGTTTCTTTCACGACACTCCCAGAATCTTGACTACGTGGCGGCTAAACGCGGCACGAAGGGTGCATAATGAACTGGAAAGCAGTTAGAAAGAACCGTTCGTGTCTAATGGAGTGCCGCCCCAGCACATGTCCATACATACCGAAAGAACTCAGACAGCTGGTGTCGCGGCAGATATTCCAACCGAGCACGTCCCGACACCAACCTGGAGGGCTCCTGCTCTAACTCGGGCCATTCCGAAAGTTTACTTCGCTAAGTACACTGAGCTGGAAATGACTATGTTTTATTCTTTAAGAGTCTTAAGTATTGAATAAAGAAAGTCCATTCGCGAGATAATAATAATTCAATTAAATTCAATTCTTTATTATTCATGTGCCGAGTCAACAGCCGCAAGGACAATTACAGACAGAGCACAGTGTAGATAAAAGTGATTACATTATGGACAAACACAACATAAAGTCAAAGACAAATTACAGGCAAGCACTGGAGGAAGAACACATTAATG